AACTCAAAGCATTCTATGATTCTATGATTCTTTCTATGCCAAATCTGCTTCTGCCCACAGGGCACTGCTGGGCAGCAGGCTTGCCACAACGCTGCTCCTGCCACTCTTGCGTTCCACAGCAAAGCACCTACACGGACATTGGAGGTTAGACCCCAAGAGGAAACCGCACTCAGAGGCTGAGCTCAGCTCTGGTAGGACATCCCTTTATGCACTAAGCACAGACTGTGAGGGGTTACAGCCATGCTAGCTGGAGAGCTCAAACCACCAGTGCTACTGGCAGCACTGCATGGAAAAGTTCACATCATGCCTGTATTCTCTGCATGTCCATTTGGCCAAGTCCCCTCTTCTGACACAGGCCAACTTCCAACCACCTCCCAAACAGCTCTTTTCTAGCTACACCTGCCAGGACACTCACCTTAAAGGACAGCTTGGTTTTGCTTTCAGGCTGTTTCCATATAATGAGGCTGACAACAAGAACAAGGATTGCAGCAATAATCCACACAGCCTTTATCAGAGCGCTTGGCTCAAGGGCAGTCAGGATACAGCTACCCACGATAAGGAAACCTGTGAAGAGACACCGAAAGCTTACTGATTCTTTTTTTAAGAACAGGAAAAAAAAAACAAAAACCACAAGCAGGCGAAGCAGAACCTGAAAGCTCCGCAAACAAAACAGTCACATATGAAACAGCTAACTGTAAGAAATACGCCCTTCCCCCTATACACGCCACCCCTCATCTGTGGACTTCTTTTGATAAATTTAATCTGTAGATTATTAGTTATTTTGGCCATTACGAGAGCTCATCAAAACTATAAGCAGGAGGTGAGCTTTCCCACCATGGTGACTATGAGGAGCTAACAGCTGGCTCATCGCCCAGTGCCTACCAATGATGAAGGTTGAGATGTTCACCACCGAGCCAGAGAATTTGGAAGGGTCCGAATTTGAGGGACACAATATGGCTTTGAGGGAACATTTCTCTTCTTCTTCCGGCAGAAATCCAGCCTGCGACTCACTGGTGCTCACAGACTCATTGTTATCCGTCTCCTCTGTTGTCCTTGCCATCTGGTATGCCAAATTAGGCTGCTCTGGCTGATACCTAGGAAAAGGGAAACGAAACGAAGAGCATATTGGTTTGGTGCAGGGTACAGTTTGTTTAAAAGCCACGCAGATAGCCACGACTGCGCCTCAGATCACTATAGCACCAGAACAGGAATAACTAACATCGACACCTTCTGTTTCAGGAGAAAATCTAAAGAATAATGTCATCATAATGTAAACAAATACGGTCAGCTATTATCACCTACAGCTTGGTTGTAATGTCAGTGTTTTAAACTGGACAGTGCTCTCTTCCATAAATCTGTGTCACCAAAACATGATGGGCTGATAGAAGCGAGGACCAGAGAAGGAAGCAGCAGAGGGACAGGCAGACGGTCACAACTGGACCATTGGGTTGTCTGTGGCAGTTCAGCTCTTGCGTTTTGGCACGGAGGTAGCTGAGCCAATAGCTCAGCAGGTACCACACCATGGCAGCTGCTGGTCGCACCCTGCGGTGACATTCTTGGTGCCTCCCTCTCCTCCATCCCCATCTCTGCTGCTGGCTTGTCTGCTGCCACACAGGGAAGGAAGAGGTGGATGAAGAACGGTAATTTTTTTGTTGCGTGTGGGGACAGCACCTCATTCAACAGGACCCTGATGCACAACCATGTGGATCCATAAAGAAAAAACACTCTTCTGGCCTCAGCTCTCTCTCACAGAAGGTTTTGCCCGTGACTCTCAGCCAAAAGCCTGACAAAAGGAAAGGGCCATTTTGAAAGATACCATAAATCAGTCCCATAGGGATGTGTTTGCAACAAGGGCATTTGTGAAACACTGGAAATTGAGAAGTGCCATGAAATCCTTGGCTCCAGTCACAACAGGGTATTTGTGGCCGGACCTTACAGCTTTGGAAACTTTTCAGCTGCTACTTCATTAGGCAGCCAACGGGGCAGCCAAATCACTGCCCAGGCTGCTACAAGACAGGCTGTCAACTCTACGAATCTATGATGGGGAAAATGCCATACAACTGGGTACAGCAGCTTGCAAAAATAAATTAAGAAGCCGTTTACAGTTGTATGGAGAGGAGGGGACTGGGAAATCAGAGGAAAAGTAAGATGGGCAAGGAAAGTCGTCAAGGATTTTCAAGGGGCAGGGTAGAGAGCAGAGGCACAGTATTACGGTACAGCGTCGGCCCTTCACTTGCTGCAAGACGGTTCGTAGTTCAATGTATTTGCTGTGAGCAGGCAAAAAGCTTCCACCAGACCTTAAGTCCTTGAACACAAAGGCATTTTTAAGTAACACAATCTTCAAAATACAGTCCTCATGAGTAGAGTGCTGTTGTCCCTGAGATGCCAAGCAATGAAGACACTCAATTTTCAGCTTAGGTTAGGGAAGCTATGGGAGGTCAGCACTTCTAAAAGACAGGCAGTAAGGCACTGATCCTGCAAACACATGCTCAGCTTTTTCGCTGCTCTTAGACTTTATCTTGAAACTTCCTTCAGAAGTGAGACAATCTGAAACTGTATCCCCCAGCAGGAAGCAAGAGTGATGATGATGAAGGCAACCAGGGCCATCCATCTCTCATCCCTATGTGTTGGCATATCTCCCAGGGCATTCAGGGTTGATCACAGCAGGAGTGGCATGGACCAAGGCTTAAGCAGGTTCAGAGGACCCCCTTGCAGTTCCAGCTAGCACAATCCCCCATGAGTTTAAAGAAACAAGTTCTTCACATGTTTATCGTTGAAGATGTTCACAATTTTACAGGGTCTATGGAAACTATGAGGACATCTGATCGCTCTGTGGATTTCTGTCTGTGTGATACAAGAGAGGCTGTTTCTACATCCATACCTCAGTACCAACACGCAGGCTGCCACCAAAGAGTAAGCCAGGAGGGTCCCGATGGACATGAGATCCACCAGATCTTTCAAGTCGAAGAGAAAGGCCATAACAGCTGTAGGAGGAGAGGAAGGTGAGAGGGGGAGGAAAAATCAGTAACACAGCATAACATGCACATCTCAGGAGCGTTAATGACAATGCAGCACACGTGTGACTGTTGCTCAGGACTCAGCTGGGAAGCTCGAGCTGGCCTGAGATGGGGAAAGGCAGGAACTGGCACATGAATACCCTGAGCCTTGCCGGCTGCCCCAGCACAGCCTCACTAGTTGGAACCTGAGGTACCATTTACTACAGTAAATGCCAGCCTGTTTGTCTCATACAAGTACATTCAACCAACTACCAGCAATGAGCAGATATTTAAGCCACAGCCTCGTTGCCAGAGTCCCCCCGAGCAGCCACAACACCCCTAAGGCCACAATTATCTCCTGAAGTAGCTAAAGGGAGTAGACGAGAGGCAGCATCTGGGGCAGCATCTTGCTCCAGTGTTCTGGCTCAGCTGGTGCAAAACCAGGCTTGTGCACACAATGGGGCCGAGCATCAAGGAGGGCATCTTGAGTCAGCATGCCTCGTCATGGGAGTTCCCAGAAAAAGGCACAGGCTGCCATACCTTAGGGATTACTCTGCTTACACACCCTCACCAGGAAACCCCTGGGTGTATAGACCTTTTGTCGTGGTTTAGGCCGACCCGGCAACTAAACTCCACACAGCTGCTCTCTCACTCCTTCCCCAGTGAAATGGAAAGGAGAAAAATATAATAAAAGGACTGAGGGTCGAGACAAGACAGAGAAGGAGCACACACCAACCACGGTCCCGGGCAAAACAGACTCGGCTTTCTTAAAGCAAAGCAATTTATTAAAAGTTACTTAAAAGGACAAAGGGAAACAAAACCAATTACTTGAGAAGATAAAAAGAAACAAAGCCAGATCTTAAAAACAACACCTCTCCACCCTCCTTTCCTTTTCTTCCCAGCTCTGCCTCCTCCCCCAGCGGCGCAGAAGGACAGGAGGGAGTGCAGGTCAGTTCATCCCATGTTGTTACTGCCGCTCCTTTCTCAAAGGAGGAGGAGTCCTTACACCCTTTTTCCCTTGCTCCAGTGGATCCCCTACTCACAAGGGAAAATCCACAGACTTGTCCCGTAGGATGCAATCCTTCCCCATCGGATTGCTCCAGTGCAGGCTTTACCACAGTCTCAGATTCTTAGGGAGCTGTTGCCACTCGCTACAGCGTGGGTTGTCCCACGGACTCTAGATGCCTCTCTACCTTGTCGTGTGTCCCATGCTTCACAACCGTCCTCAGGCTCAAGCATCTCTTCTCCGTTGTGGGCTTCTCCACGGGCTGCGAGTGGGTCTCTGCTCCACCGAGTCTGTCCTGGCTGCAGGGGGGCCGCCTGCCATCGCGCCACCAGTTGCAGGGGAAAACTCAGCTCCAGCACACCTCCTCCCACTCCATCTTCACTGACCTGGTGTCTGTGTGGCCGTTTCTCTCAGATCCCAGTCCTCTCTGGGTGAACTCGGCCCGGTGGGCACCCCGGGAGCGGGGCACTCCCTGAGTTCACCAAGCGGCTCTGCTGCCACCATCCTCAGCGGGTGGTGCCAGCCCGGCACCGGCAGCAACCGGGGAGTGGGGGCAGTGCCCTCCTCCTTTCTCCTAGCTCCTGGGCAAAGCACCTTTTCCGGTTCCTTTGTCCCTACTTAAATAGGGCAATTCGCAGAGGCGCCGATTGGCTCAACCCCGAGGGGGATGGGAGTCTGATCTGATGGTCAGAACCGGGTCTAACCCGGTTCCAAAACCAGGGAAGTCACAGGGAACAAATCCCCTCTTCCTGCCACCAGAACCCCCCCACATCAAACCATCACACCTTTGTATAAAGGCCTTCAGAAGAAGTAAATTAAGTGGAGGACAGACGCCATAGTCATTCAGGTGGCATCACTGGTTGTACAAGAGCACAGGGATCTCAGAGCTGAGCCTGGAGTCCAACAATCAACCCAATCTTTAAGCTCAGCTGGCAAGCGCTGGCCCTGAAGCTTCATGTGCGCTTTGTTTCTCGGCGCTACAGACCACTCTGAGGACACCTGAAGGGACTACAAAGTACGTCTTTTTTCACTTTATCTGGCTCTTTTTTCCCCTGTCCGAAGCCAAGGCCGCCTGAAGAGGAAGACGCCAGGGAAGCAGCTGCAAAGAGGCGCCGTGGGTCTCAGCGGCTCCGTTTCACAGGAGCTCAGAGCCCACGGTGGCAGTTCAGCACCAACTCCCCGCCGAACACGGCATGTTCTTGCACCGACAGCTCATCCCTCACTTGCAGCAGAAGGCGGAGGGGAAGCAGCAAGGCTCTTCTCTTTGCTCAGCATCGCGAGGAAGAGGGTAAGACGCTTGTCCTTGCTCTCCGGGAGGTTTAAGTCCCATACTCCTGGGGGCCAGGAGATGGAAGGGGAGGACAGGACGGCTGCCAGCTGTGACTAACTGATTAACAAACGCCTGTGCCGCGGGAGCCACCTGCCTGCCTCCGGCTGGTCTGGCGTCTTCTGCCGAGCTGCTACCCACCTCCGGCAAAGCCAGCCCACCAGCCACCAGGCTGCTGGGGCACCGCTGGCTGCCACCTTGCAGGGGGTTAATTATTTTTAAGGCCAGCAGAGCACCCAGGGAGCGGATGAAGGCAATCCTTAGCATGAGACAGGATGTCAGCAATGAGCTCTGAGAAAGAGGGACAGGCAGGCAGTGAGCTATTCACGCTCACCCAGCCCCTCCGGGCATGCCCTGGAAACCCAGGGCTCGCTCTGGGAAGTCATGCTGTGCAATACATCCGATTAATAAGTGGGGTAGTGTCAAGCGGACTTAGCTGCCCCTAGGATGAGCTTATGTCTCCTTTCCACACATTCATGTAAGTCTTTGGATCTTACCTGCAACGGCCCCTGATGTCACTGTTGCAAGTATTGGAGTTTTTCTCTTCTCGTTGACTTTAGCCAAAAATTTAAAGAGAAGTCCATCTTCTGCCATAGCATAAATTATTCGAGGCATGGGAAACATGGAGCCAAGGAGACTAAGGACACAGAAGGGGGAAATAATCTACTTATATCACCTCCTGCTGAGCACAGGCACACAAATGAAAGCAAGTTTATGGCAGTACAAACACAGAACAGGTGGCTTTCATTCACTTCAGCTTCTCCTTCAAGGGCTCCGTCTGCACACTCATGTTGCTGACAGTTGGCAATTGAGGTGCAGCTCTGAGATTTTCAATACCTAAACTTAGCCATAAGGCACGAAAAGCCTGACTTTCAGGTGGCAGAAGAGCCGTAACTTCTATGAGCTTCTATGAGTTACTCACGTAACTGAGTATGTCTAAGTCAATCTGAAACAACAGGTCCCTAGAGTGCAGAAGAACGTTACACAGTTCGCCTCCAGCCTGCCCTGCCTCCCATCCAGACGGCTGACCTGTGGGCAACCTGAAGCCAGACAGCCCTGGATATGGTGAGACCATACACTCCAGGAGATGCACCCTGCACTACCTGACACAAGTCTGCTCTGCACCCAGCAGGCCAGGATGTCTTGTGGGAAAACCATGTTTGTGCTGCGGAGTTGCCCCCATGGCTTAGTCACTGAATCCATTTATATTCCAGAGATGCACCTACTGGATCTGCTGCTAAGATGGGAGTTTCTGAAGCGATACTGGTGATATGCGTCTCTGACATCTATCACAAGCTGAAATCCTGGCCCTTTTGAAGTCAAATGCTCTAAATTTCATCCCTGGTCTCAGCCCCCTTGACCTCAGGAAACACAGTGAAGGCAAAGCCCTGACATGCATCATTTTTTAAAGGTGTTGGCGACACATGTTTGCCTTGAGAGATACACAAAGGAAGAGCAGTGTCTCACCTCGTAGAAAGCGCACACAAGGAACCGACAGCCACTGCGTAATTGGCTCCATCCCAATTCACATGTTTAAAGGCATTGGGTAAAGGGCTATTGGTATCCAGCTGGTAGTAAGGCATCATGAGCGTCAGGGCAGCTGACACGCCAAAATAAGCCACGAAGCAGATGAGCAGAGATGCCACAATGCCAATGGGAATGGCTTTCTGAGGGTTTTTTACTTCCTCGCCTAGAAGAAAGAAATCAAAATATCAGCTAAACGATGAGCAAGAACTTTATCCCAACATAGGCTGTGCTGGTTGGGGCTTTCAAAGGCTCCGTGGGCAGCAAGGTATTGTTTGACCATGTGTGGACAGGCATGCTGCCGGTGGCCTGCCCAGCCTGCTGCTCCTACTTAGGCTCCCTCTTTCTCTGGCTCTTTAAATACTCCAAGCCAGTGGAGCATCTTCAGCTGAAGACACTGAAGAACGCTACTCCAAAATAACCTGTTGATTAAAGCATCATCTGCAGTCGGAGGTTCAAACTTCACCAGTCATACAAAGCATCTGAACCTGGGCCTTCCCTGTTTGCCTAACCGGTAAAGCTGGCTGCGTTTTCTGTGGAGTTTGACCTGGTTACCATCATCAGTGACAAACCATGGGACTGGGCCCTGCGGACAAAGAAGGCAGAAAGCTCTTTTTGTGCATTATATGGTCTAGCTGCCTGCCATAGCATCTAGAATTCAATGCTTAAGCACCCAGGGACTTGGACATACTCAGCACATGGAGCATGAGGAGTGGCTGAGCCAAAAGTATATTCTGGGCTGAGGTTCAGAGGGATGATGAACACACAGTGCCCCGAATTACTGATTATCTGTGCTGTGCAACATTACTGAAAGTCAATCGACCAGCAAGCAGGTTCATAACCAGAATGAAGACATCCTCCCTCTCACCTGTAGTAGCAATACAGTCAAATCCCACGAAAGCATAGAAACACGTGGCTGCCCCTGAGAGGACTCCTTTCCATCCATAGGGCATAAACCCTCCAACACCACAGAGCTTTTCTTCCTGTGTTCGACTGAAAGGCATGGCACTGGGTTAGAAGTCATCCTGCCTAGGTGGGAGTAACAAAACTATTCATACAGCTCGTAACAAAACCCAAAGCTGGAGTTTGAAGGAACACACTCTTCCTTTCACATGTCAGCACACAAATACCAGGCAAAAATGCTAAGCCCTACCCACTGCCGAGCTTTGGACTCGCCTGCAATAGCCTGGGGAATGCAAAGAATAAAAATGGTTCACCCGTTTTCGGGGCGGATAAAAATGTCATGGTGAAGACAAGGAGAAAATAGCATGAATATTGAAATTCCTCTCCTAATATTGCTGCATGCGTGTAAATACACATATTCATTTAAACACAAGCACAACAAGTAATTCTGAAAATTGAAGACTGAGAAACATGTAAACCATCCACTTTTCACCCAAGATGGACTCAGATAGTAGGTAAGCAGCCATTAGAGAGTAATGCAGAGTGCCATGGCTGTCCAAAATCCACCCAATCCTCCATTCTCAACTTCAGAATTCCCTGTGCCAAGCTCATAGCCAAACCATGCTTGCGACCCTGAGGGAGGAGGGGAGCCAGCATCCCTGATGCACCAAATGCTTTGCTAAGACTCATCCAAAGTTCATTAAAGTCAACAGACACCTACTGATGTCCATCATTAAAGTTAACTGACAGGCGTCCACCTATCACTGACACCCAGTGCACTCTGCACCAGAGCCACAGATCCACATGCCTGTACTGAGTCATCAATAACATACCCTTCGGTTCAAGTGACTTAGGTAACTTTTTCAGGGAAAAGCCTTTGTAAAGATGAGTTAAGGCAATTAAAGTAAAGCAAATCCCAAATCTGCAAGTCTTATCACGTGTAAGCATCTGAACATTCTTGTAGCTCTGTTGAGACTTAGAAGAAAACTGGCCTGTCACATGCATGCAGAAATAGCACAACCCAAATGTGGATTACTCTGGAAATAATGATAAAGTAAAGTAAACCCCAGACAGATTTTACAAAAATAGTTAAGTGCTATGGGTTAAAGAGCTACAGTTACACTTTGAAGCTATTGTGCTAATTGCTCCTTGCATGGGAATAGCAGTAGGGAAGGACGGGGGACCTTTCCTGTAGAAGCAATTTGTTCACAGTAGGCTGAATTTTGCAGAGAGGCTAAATAAGTGGCTTGTCCACAAGCCAAAACTTGACCCATGCAACATTTACGAATCTCTCCAGATTGTGCCAAACTGTGCTTCCTTGCAGGCCAGCATAAAGAGTTCAGACAGCAAGCCGGGACTGAGCTGATGTACGTAGAGGTATTTAAAGACCCTCATTCTGCGTTGCACAGTCTCAAGCAGAAATGAACAGCCCTGTATCACTGGCAACCCTTGTAAGCTCCTTAATTTGGTCTTATATAGGAAGAAAGGATTTTGGCCGAGTAGCGAAATGTCATTAAAAATGGATTTGTGATGTGCTTGCTGCAATGTATTAAAATAATCTGCAACTTGCCTTCATTTTATTGAGGTGTCTGAGACAAGGTCTCCAAAAGGTACAATGGTGCCTGAAGGATATTGCCCCAGTGCCCAAACAAACTACAGAGCTGTACTTGGTCATGGTTTGATACAGGAACCAGAGCCAGCCTGGTGCAGCCTTGAGTAGGTGTCTAAAAAGCTCTTTTCTCTCCAATTTGGACGCCGTATTGGTAATGAGGCTGGAAGCGGTCAGTTCTGCAGCAGGGCCCACGCTGACCCAGCCTACCTCCTACCAGTTTCAGCCCATCGGCACTGCCTGCTTTCAACAAACGCCCTCCAAAACCAGCTTTGCCTCCTAGGCGTTTCACAAAGGAGGGAGCCATCCCATTCACACCTTTCCTAAATCACTCCACAACTCCCCCCCCTATAAACTTGCCACTGAAAATACATCAATTTCAGACCTGAAAAGAAAAAATCCAACCTACTTGTCTCTGTAAGCACAGTGGGTGGCGTTGTTGTAAATGTCCTGTTCAGTCAGCTGCCAGTTTTTAACAGATCCTTTCACAAAGCCAGAGACCATGACGAAGCCCAGGACAAGGATGTTGATGCAGGTGAACACTTTGTTCACCAGGGCAGATTCCTTCACGCCAAAAATTAAAAGCCCTGGGGAAAAAAAAGCAGACAGGCAGTTAAGTATCTTGCCACCAGCAGCAGGCACTGGCAGCTTGCAGAGGTAGCCCAGCTCTGCCCATGCTGTGCTCTGCCCAAATTACCACATCTCGTTTCTCCACAAAGCCAAGGAGCTCAGGCGGGTCGGGATTAACTCACCCAGGAGAAGGACAGGGACTCCAGCCCAGACATTACGACTGGGGGATGTGACGCACCTTCCCACCCCGCATGCCCATTTGGCACGAGCCCTGGGTAAAGTGCTTTGCTAACACAGCCAAGCTGCTTCCAGTGCTTTCGATGCCAGCTCTGGTCACCTCATGGTGCTACGCTGTGCCACCTAGCCATAGCCACAAACTCCACCCAGAGACCTGGAGAAAGCACTCCAGGCGTTTTTTCATGAAGGAACATTGTCTTAGAGCTCTTGGCCACATGCAGAAGTTATGAACAACATTCGACTTTTCTTAGAAGCAGGGAAAAATATAAGCAGGGACCAAATCAAGGACAACAGCTACTTCTAGTGCTGAGGACATAGAAGAAGATAGCATCTTGGGCTCCCATTTAAATCAGCGGGAGCTTTGCCAGCGAGTTCAGCAAGAGCAGGATTTCAGTCTGTGGTGTTAAGAGCATCCATCTAAGCAAGAGCACGTTCATAGGCTTTGGCAATCAGCATCTCATGGAGGCATAGCTCGGCTTCTCAGAACAACAAGCTCTGGTAACTTGCGTTTGCTCTTCAGAGCTGATTTTCGAGAACCCAAACGTTTAACTCACATCTAAGAAGGTGGCGAAGGGAGAAGGTAAAGAACTTCACATGGGCCTGAGGGAGAACAGGGTGTCCTCACAGCTACTCCAAAGCACTTCAAAGAGAGGGGAGCATACTATGCACTCGCTTTGCCTTCTTTTAAAATAGGAAATAAGCTGAGACAGCCACATCAGGGAAGTATTTGACAAAATCCTGTACCTGCCTAGGAAAACTTGTAAGGTACCTTGTAGAAATCTGAAGCTCAAGATGGTGCAAGCAGAAATAAACTTGTAGTGCTTATATTTAGGACTAAAGCTGCTCATTCAGCAACTTTTTTTTTAAAAAAGAATTGTTTACACTTTTTAATTAAAATCCATGAATTTGCTTCATGCAGGGAAATAAAGCTATCGGTAACCTGTATGATTTTACGCCTCAGCAGTGCTAAAATGAGGAGTCCTACATTTTGTGAATTGTATCTAAGGTGAAAGACCAGATTCTAATTTGAAACTAGAGCAATTCTTATCATATACAAATGAACAAAGAGGAAAATCAAGAGGAAAATCGTCTCTCCCATTCCGATGTGGTTCTGAAAACAGAGGGCTGCTATTGACTACAGCAGTCCTCGATATAGTCCTAGATTCGAATGCAAACCCAGATGCCAAAGCATCCCCTGCTTACGAAGCCTGCTCCCATGAGCACGGCTCACGCTGTGAGACTGCCATCCTGATCAGAGTGGGAAATGTCGCGATAACCTTGTTGGAGCTACACTGCAGCTTCTGCATTTTGGAAACCACAGAGGGGTACGTGAGAAGCATGATTTTTTTAATTTGCCGGAATTTGGCAATGCTTTGCAAGATCCAGTTGGAGTAGAGGTAAAAGTTCAGAAGGATTTGAATTTTACAAATTTTCAAAACTTTTCCAAATTCTAATCGAAGCCTTGGCACATTTTTAGAAAAAAAGAGGCCCTGACTGTTTATCGCACATTTATTTCTCTGGAGTCCTGCATTCACTGTTGCAAACTGAAGCCCATACACACTGAAAAAAAAATCCAAAAAGTAGTACATGAGGTTGTTACTGAGTTCCATATATTGTTTTCTCACTTTCCTGGTTCGAGGCACTGAAAATTGGTAGATTATGAAAGGAGGAATAAGGTTGATAGAGAAACAGAATGAAATTCTTGTGTAACAGGATTTGTGGAGGAAAGGATTAAACTTCCATACCTGATTGAGGATAACAAGTCATCTTTTCTTTCCTCCTTATATAAAATTTGATTAAAGGTTTTAAGAGTGGCTCAAAAAATATCAAGCATGCTTCCCTCTAATTAAAAACCTTGTAAACAGGCTATGCCCCGTGCTAACTCCGCAGCAGCTATATAGGCCAATCCAACACTTGTAGGAAAGAAAGAGTCTTTAATACGTTATCCAAAACAAATAAGGACTTTGTGCCTATTCCAAAACCAAACAATGAAATTACAGAAGAAAGAGGTCCAAGACTCGCAAACTCCTCCAAGGTTTTACCTGTTAGGATGATGATTATCACCACGGCGAAGATGTCCGGGTATTTTGCCAGCACTCCAGGAGCATCCATCGTCATGTATTTTTTACAAAATTTTTCAATGTGCTGGCCTATGATCTCATCAAACGTCGCGCTCCAGGCTCTGGCCACGCTCGAGGTTCCTGTCAGAGGACAGAAAGGATGCAGATCACCTTTCGTGGCTGGCACACATTCCAAACAGGGGGCACCTTGCATGGCTTTTGGCCACAGAGGGCCTCGAAGCAACCTCGCATGCGTTTCCCAAGAGCTGGGAGCAGTCTTTCCTCTGCAGATCCAGCCCACAGCCTGTACTCACACCTGGCATCTGCTTTGATGGTAATGCACACAGGTGAAACACACAGCTGACAAGATAAAAAAATCGTTATATGTGGTTTAGCTTCTTAGTAAACCTCAACTTTGCCTTAGATATTGCCTAGACTAACCTTTTCCTTACACTCCCAGCAGCCTGGACTTCCCCAAAACCCGGTAATTTCTACTACTAGAGAGATCTGAGCGTCATGCCGGCAGAAGTCCCTGGCAGCCCCAGCTGGGTGACTGCAGCCCAGGCAGAGGGACCTTACAGAAGCCATGTGGCCTCCAGCAGTGCATCGCTGGAGCACCAGAGCCTGGACCACAACATTCGCCCAGCTCTGTAGGCTCTGTGCTCCAGCAACAAGCAGGTCTGCTCCGACCTCCGGTGGTGGAGCAACCAAGCAGGATAAAGACTCAGACACGATTTACGGGTTATCTGAGCGTAAGTCAGCCTATTGCAGGATGCTGGTGATGATCCCAGCAAGCGGCACGACTCCTGCCTGCAGCAAGTGCTTAGACTTCCCTCTCCAGAGCCGCTGCTTGCTGCGGTTCCTGAGTACACCAAACCACACACAGCTTGCCGGCGCAAGGACTGAACCTGGGGACTTAGGACGACCAAGTCCAGGACGTTATCTGGGCCAGAAGAGTCGTTTCAGAGAACTGAAATAGTAACAACAAAGACCTACCACCAGACAGTGACAGCATTGTGTAAAATAAGTAGGTTTGGGTAATAGCCAACTTCTCCCTTTCCTGCATTAAAGCGATTATCGTTATATTCCCAACGCCTTATACAGTACACTATATATAACAGCATCTAATTGCATGATATAATTACTACTCTGCATAATTACCTGGTTAAAAAAAGAGGTTGGTTTGGTTTCGGTTTACAGAGCAGTTCCTCAGAGGACGCCGTCAGGGGCCCCCTCCTACCTGGAACAGTCTGTCCTGACACACTCACCTGCGGGTGGGCGCTCCAGTCCCAACTCCGGCACCTGCAATCGTGTCAAATGATGTCCCTGCTCACCTGCAGCTAAAGCCTGGGCAGCAGTGGCCAGCAGCACCTGCAGCCAAGCTGGGAACACTCACCGCCCCGATCCAGCTTTGCCACAGTACAAAAATAAGCTGCAGAACAGACCTGCTTGGAGACTCTTCTGTTCACCGAGAGCAAAATGCACAGCGTGGATGCTTTTAAAGAGGTGGGACACCAGTGCCATCAATTCAGTCTTGAAAAACTCCAAAAGTTATTGTATACCACATTACAACTTTTCAGCTTAACTTTGGCATGATTGGAGGGAAGAGACTGTTTCTTTAGTGCTATTTGTTTGTCCTGGCTCTAATATTTCATGTTCTAGGACAGGAACAACCAGCTCCTGCATGCGTTATATTAGATGGCAGTTGTTTGGATGCCAGTTTCACCTAACTATCGGCCCTTTATCCTGAACTCTCTGTAACCAACAGACTTGAGGGAGTAGGGGGAAACTGATACTCTTCCAACATTGCAGACACCTGGATAATATCTCACTGTTGCTAGAGAGCACAGTGCAAAGACATTCGGCTTGTATCCAGGAGGATTTACTAGTTCTGGGTCAGCATAACCTCACCAGACAAAGCTGGCTCCTTCCCGCAGCACTCGGCTCCCAGGAGAGCCGTGGAGTTCAGGCGCAGGGCTCGCTGAAGGAACAGGCACAGGCCAGGAGGTCACTGCGTGCCCCAGGAAACCCCAGCAGCAGCTGCTCACCAGGGATGCCGTTACTCATTGTCCTACCAGCTCCCACCAGCTTCCAGTTCCTGAAATGCTTCCCACAATCTGGCACGGTTTTCCCCATACACATCACCCCAGAAGAAAGTTCACACCAGATCTTGCTCCTGGACACCTCCTTCCTTCCGTCTAGGCTATGACCAACCAGTTGCACGCCCATTTTTGCTCATTACGCATAGCCAAGACCCCACACCAGTGTTCCTCCAAGCCAAGTCACTTCAAATAATTACATTAATTACCTTGACCACCCATCCCAGCACCCCAGGATTTATTTTTCCACCCCACAATACTTTCTGAACAGATGTCTGAGAACTTCATTATGAAAACACCAAGTTGGCTCAGTCCCTTACAGATGCAAGCTCTCACCACCCCACCTGGTTTCAGTGGTACTGCTTGGCATTTTCTGCAGTACAACTGAGAAAAAAGTTGGCTTTCTGCCTCTCTCAACCCCCAGCTCTGAATTGCAGTGTGTTCCAACATATCTTTCTCCTCCACACCCCCGAAGCTGCTGGGAGTTGTCCTTGCTCACAAGAGGGACAATTAGCACAGGTTGAAAGGTTGGGTAAGATAAAGAAAAGAGACCTGCTATAGCTCCAATCCTCCCCCAGTTGTTCTTCCTGCTTAGCCACCCTTCCTCCCAAATTACAAGGAAGCCAGTTGCAAACATGCATTTTTGTCACAGGACTGAATTAAAAGTAACAAAGTTGTGTTTGAACACATTCACGGATAACATCTACTTATTTTTTTACTGAATTTTCTGCCTTGTGATAACACACTGAGCAGCCAACTCTGAAATAAAAACTGAGGCGGTGGTTCAAAAGCCATTATGAGAGAACACACACAAAAAATAATCTCAGAATATCAGCCTCAGCCCAGATCCTGCGAGTGTAACGTTCAGTATGTACATCTCTTCATTGTGCATTTGCAGAATTGGGTTTTGGGACAGCGTCCATGGCTATGTCAGTCATTTTGGTGGTTCAGCATCATGGTGGGGACGGCCACATAACTAACTAGATGAGGAGCATGGAAGAGATGATTTATCATTACATTTCTGGAACAGAAGACAAATCACCAAGAAGTCTGTTCAATTTTCCTACGTGTGGCCTAAGCAGAGTCCATTTTAGAAGTCTGGAGGAAATTATATGCTTACTTTTAAAAAAAAACTATTTTTATCCCCTCCTTGCAGTGAATCTGACTCATAAAAGAACCGCAGGACTCAGATTTCCTAAGGAGATGAGTTTAATTGACTCTGGCTTTTCATCCTCTCATTTCTTTTTTTTTTTTTTAAAAGAAAAAAAGGCAAGGAGGAGAAGGTTTCAGGCAGCACACAGAGCAGAGCCAGCACGATCTCAGACAAGCAGCTGCTACATCGCTATATCATTCTTGATGTGATCTTACCCTCCCTAGCACCATGGCAACTAATCTCCAAGGTAACACTTACACATCCCATAAAATGTATTTAAAAAAAAACAACAACCCTCCCTTTAATAATTTAGCATAACATCAATTTTCATTTTAACTAGTCAGTCTTCACTCTCCACTGGCAAGTTGGTTGCAGCCTTAATTACAGGCATGATGACAAGCAGCGTGCCCAGAATGTGCTTGAAAAGGCACCAATCCTTAATTAGCGAAGCGTGGCTTAGTTTTAACGTATCAACTGAGTTGTACACTGCGTGCTCTGAGCTTGATCCAAGGCCCCTCCTAGTGGGAGTCAAGGGCTTAGAAGGGATTTGGTTTGGATGTTTCAGAGACTGTGAACCTGCAGATCACCCTAAGCTTAATCCTGCAGCCATTCACCAGACAAAACTCTGATCTCCAGGTACTTTAAACAGGTCTGAAAGGGACCAGGAATTAATCCTTGATCAGCTGGGAGCACAGATGCTGCTGTGTAAAATCATTCTTCTGTCAGCAGCTTCTTTCCCGGCAGAGGGGACACGCTTTTGCCCCCCGACAAGCACGCAGCGGCCAGGGGATGCCAAAGGGATGACGTGGAGGTGTCAGGAGTCGCAGCAGCAATAGTCCAGTGTCAGGAAAAATCCTCAGCCCCCAGCACACCACCCACCTTGCCGACTGACAGGAACCACCACCAACGCGCCTGCAGCTGAGTCCCGAAATCCTGGGTGAGCGCGGGAGTGCAGCGCCTGTTTGCAACAGTAACGCGCGCACCCAAACACGGCTGGTCTTACAGACTAGCTGCCACCCTGGACCAAAGCCAGGGTCTCACAGCGCACCCACTTACCGATAATATAGGAGAGGATTAAATTCCACCCCGTGATGAAGGCCCACAGCTCGCCCACGGTCACGTAGCTGTAGAGATAAGCTGATCCTGTCTTAGGAACTCGAGCACCAAATTCTCCATAGCAGAGTCCAGCCAGCACTGAAGCCAAGGCGGCGATCAAGAAGGAGATAACGATGGCAGGTCCGGCATTTTCCCGTGCCACGGCTCCAGCCAGTACGTAGACGCCTGCACCCAAAGTGCTGCCGACCCCCAGAGCCACCAAGTCAAACGTGTTGAGGCATCGTGAGAGCCGACTGTCTTCTCGAGTGCAGTCCACGTTTTTCCGGCGAAGAAGCTGGTTTCCAAAGTTGATAATTTTCTGACACTTCATCTTTGTGTTTGGGCCTGCAAGAAAGATGCTGCCATCATTACTTGGACCGGGATATCCCCCAAACCAGCATCACTGCACAGGTACGCTGCTACAGCCCTGTTACAACAAACAGATCTTCCCACTTTCCACCTTTTTTACATGGCAAAATTTCTCCTTTGGCATTTTACCTCGGCTTAGCACAAGGAATTAAAACAGACAAAATCGAAGCGTTTTCTGCTTCCCACTCCCAGTCACGCTGCAATGCATGCCCAGTCCTGGGAGAGGCAGCACTGCCCCCCGGCTCCCACTCAACTCCACAACCACCCGCTCCACAGCCAAGTGGTCAAGTCAAAACGATAAAGCCCATCTTTCAGATTTCAGAGTGGTTTTCCTGGGCTGGGAATTAAAAAACCATATATATATATATATATAAAAAAGACAGATATATATAGAGAGATGTACTTATATGTATTTTTTAAGTCTCGGGGCGAACTAAGCAAGCATTACATCCCAAAATAAGGTACCACATGTGCTACTGTCCCTGGAGCACAACACGACCCTGTGCTGCAGTTAGCGACACCACTTGCAGTCAAACAGACCTGCTGGGACATCTCCCTTTTCTAAGCTCCAGCTCCAGCCACAGGCAGAAGCACAGGTTGGTGTTGCCTCCAACTGTGCAGGCTGAAATGGATATAATTTGGGAAAAAAGGACATGCACAACCAAGTTTAATTAAGCTCAGTTACACCAAGGCAAAGGCTTAAGCTATTTTGCATTCACAACGACTGAAGCAAGAGCACAGCAGGGCTCCCTGAACTTCCCCGTCCCACCCAGGACAGAAGCACTGCAGGACAGAGGTGTTTAATGAAATCGTGGGGCAGCCTTTCCAGCTCTGGTCCCATTTCAGCATCTGCGTACGGACCTTCTGGCACAGCCAAACAGCAGCGTGCAGTGGCTTCCACGTGCGAGCAGTTCAGGTGCAGCTCCCTTGCTTTAGACTTTATAATGGGATTAGCAGCAGGGTAAAGCAAATCCCTCTCTGCGGAGTGATTTTCCCTTAGGAAATCCTTCTGGAGTTTCTCTTCCCATGTGAGACACGTATCTTGCAGTGCTAGACCATGGAAAGATTTTGCTATGCAGCACATCAAGCCTAGAAATTGGACCACCTGCCTAGGTGTCCACCTCACACAGGCAGTAACAGCACTCATTAAAAGCTACGATCAGTCAAACTGGCATGGCCAGCAGTGGGGTCAGCTCCTCAAGGACATCTATGGAAACAGTGCCGTTAGGGAGTCTGTCCCTTCAAGATTTATGTCCTTGGACACAGCCCGAGTGTGGAAGTTTTGTCTTACTCTTTCAGAAAAAAATTCAGTACGTTGCTTCAAAATTGTCCTTGTCTTTAGAGCAGCTAGAGAGCTCCTCCTCATAGCATTACCTGAATTGATGAGCACAGCATTAGAAGGAATTTCTTGCTTTTCACTGTCAAGTCTAGCCCCAGTTGTCACAGGCAACCACGGCGCAACATCAGGCCTTCCCTTAAAAATTTCTAGGTGCCTTATGCCCAGTGTTGGAAAGCTCCACCAACACTCCTCTACTCTCCAGCCAAAATGCTTCAGCAGGCAGTGTTTACTTACATGCTCTTGGGCCAAGAATGGCCTTTCCCTGCTCAGTGGTTATAACCTCTCAGCCTTCATTGTGCAAAGGTAAGTGATCCAAGCCCCAAAGACACAGGCTGTCCCTTGCTCTGTCTGCAACTGTTCACCTCTGAACCACCCTCCGAGCAGTGGCATATCCCATTAGCACCCTTCTACTTGTTGCATCAAGAGGGACCAGTAGAAGAAGCAACAAGAGCATCCCAAGAGCAACCACTAAGAACTCCAGTGGGTATCTCTTCTACCAGTATCTCTTTTCCTCTCCCAGTCCCTGACTTCTCACTAACAAGTCCCTTTTGCGCTGTGTCAGTTTCCTACTAGTCCTCATCTTCTTAAACAACTTCCTGTGTGACACTTCAACAAAAGCTTTACTCAAGTCAAGATAAAGGAGAGCTACGGTTCTTCCCTTTAACAAGTTAAAAAAAACAATAGTTGCCCAACTTCCCTGTGCCTCTTATCAAATAAAACTTATCAAAAAAGAAGGAGAATCTTCCAGTCTCTCACAGCTAAACTTACTTATGTCTTTGCTCTTCTCCAGTCAATGGGCACCACCTCCTACTTTGACAGAGGTTCCACTTTGCTGGTTCACCGCTGTTTTCGTGCCCTGGTTCTTTCTGATTATCCATCATTGACCTTCCTCTTCTGAGTGTTGCTCCCACTGGCTGTAGCCATTTTCCTCAGCCCACGCTCTGCCATCCCACCTTCATCCCAACATCATCATCCTCATTCAGAATTTAAAAGTTAGATAATATGATGCTCTGAGCATGAAATCACTTTAAAAATGAATGTCCTAGTAGTCCCCATTTACCACGTTTTGGTTCATGCTGCAGAGCACTCATGGAGTGCACAAACCCCATACCCCCAGGGTAAAACTACACCTGAGGATGCTGCATCTGCACCTGATGGGTGTTTAGCCCACAGGAAGAGCTCCTCCAGAACAATCTCCCCTGTAAGATATATTGTGCAGACATCAGATTCTCAACAACAACTGCTTCATTCTGCAAATCAATGGGCTGCGTTGCTTGCTCATGGGGACACAGTCTACAAGGATGAACGTCATCCTCTATCTCAGACTGCATCCTGTAGCTCCGAGAAGCCCCAACCTGATATCCACACTGCACCATTAAAGCCGGCTTCAGCAGCAGGGCTTTAAAGTGTTTCTTCATTAATTATAGAGAAGGAGAAAGGTTGTTTTATTTAGATGTGATGCTGGACCGAGGCATTAATTTTCCAATGAACAGTGCCTTGCATACCAATAACGGAACAGCAGTGTACACTGCACACTAACATGAATAGTACGCTGAGAATAATGTGTAGGCAAAAATATCACTAGATGGAATTTACGGTATGGTCGAGTGAGATTGGTATGTCATCAGATCCGGGTAAAACTCAGTATAAAAGGTGGGAAAATACACACTAAGAAACTTAAAATTGAGTCAGCTATTAAATCCAATGTTTTAATTTTGTTGCCATAGCATCAACTACAAAATCAAAAATCCTCTTCACTTTTCCAAGACACCAGTCATAAGCCCTGGCTTAAATCCCTTTCTCTTGGCCTTACACTAACTCCTCTACTATGAGAAAATAATTACAACTATAGGAACAAGGCTGAGGATTTACAAGTCCCACTGTGTCAGGAATTGCCTCATCCACCAACAGCTCTCAAACACGCTCCTGAGGGACACAGATTCAGACTAATGGAGAAAGGCAGGTCTTGGGCCAACCTTACAAAACTCTCATTTGGTGAGCCACAGGAATTCCCAACACACACAGAGAAGGAAAACTATTTTTTCCCTTCAAAAGGCAGACAGACCTGTTTACCTAAGTGTATTCACACATCAGTTTGCTTATGCGGTCTCCTTCCCACTTGAACCTTACCCAAATCCAGGTCAGCCAGGATTGCTTTCAGCTGGACACTTGCCCACCTCCCTAAAAGCAGAGACTGGGCAGTCCTGAGCATTGAACTGGGGTAAAATGACTACAAGAGTGCTGCACTGGAGTATCGCCTATGAATTTTACTGCTTTGTAGGACAACACAAGTTCTAGGCTTTGCTTAACTCCCACCAGAGTGATGGAGAGATCCTGTTGATGTCTGCATCTTACAAAGACCACAGTGATGGGGCCAACTCACCCACCCTGCCCAGCGGTGGTGGTGGTTGTGCTTCTGCTGGTTGACACTGAGTCTGGAGCTCCAGGAAATGAGGAGCATCCCAGTGCTGTGTACCAAGAAAAAAACACTACAGAAGACATAAAAAAAAAAAAGCCCTCCAAAACAAAACAAAGAAACCCCTGCCATAAACTGCAGCCAACTATGAGCAAGATACCCACAGGAGATGTGTTAATGGACTTATTTTCCAAAGCTAGTCTGAAAGTCAAGACCAGTTTGATTCAGAACCAAACTCTGGATTTCAGGACAAACATAGGTTTATTCTGCAGCACAGAAACATCAAGAAATGCCAAAGGACTGGTGAAAAACAGTTTAGTTCTTGCTAAGTCAATATTTATAGCAAGGTTTAGACATTCAATGGCCTGAACAGAGGTGTTAGAAGCAACACAGTAATACGGGAAAGTCCCAGCTGAGATTATTAATAAAGACAGAAAATGGAAAGGATGTAAAGAGAGACGGGTCTGGCTCAGTAAGATGCCGAGTGATGAGCCAAGGAGGTCTGCAGAGATGCAGCATGGCAGGGCAGGGCTCACCTGCTCTGTGCACGGAGCCCCCAGGCTCTGCGTGCCCGTGGGGAAGCACGCATGGACCCCTGAGGCTGAGCTGGACCAGCCACAGGGGAACACAGGAGAAGGTCAGAGGAGATCTTCCTGAGACCCATGGCAGGGGGGTTGGAACTAGATGATCCTTAAGGTCCCTTCTAACCCAAACCATTCTATGTGGCACTAACAATACACTTGCTTGCAGTGTGTAAGCAACCTACTGTCCCCATACACTGCACAAAGCTCCAAGGAGGACATGCTCTGCGGTGAACAAAAGCAAAAGGAGAGGTCAGCCTGTGCAGTCTGCTACTATCTTTGTCTAAGAAGTGCCTCCAGGTGGAGGTGGACCACAGTTCCCCACAGATGAGAGCCACTCTCCCTCCTCCTTCAACCAGCACTGACACCCAAGGAGCTGCGGATGCCAAGTCTATTCCAGGATTTGGCTCAAGGCCTGGGCTTCAAAAACATGCTGCCTAACAATGATGGTAGAAGACCTTTTATTTCCTACCTAGCTATTTAACTTCAATTCAACTAAACCTGGTGTCTTGCAAAACGAGTGTGACTCAGTGTACCCAAACCAACAGGAGTTTTATCTCTGCATTGAAAACGAAGGCAGATCTGGTACCCAATGTCCTCCCCTCCCGCACACATCACGACAAATC